GAAAGAGAAAGCAAGCATGTACTTGCTATGACACAGTCATTAACAGTGTGAGAAATGTATGCCAGTGCTGCAAGGGACCTAATGCTCGCTAATGGAGTGGTCAGGAAAAGATGTGGCACTTTGTCAAGGAAGGACAGAGTCTGATATTGAAAATCCATTTTAAGTAGTGCCTTCAGTATTCAGGCCATCTTCCAAAAAAAAAAAAAAAAAGATTTAGCTGAAAATTCAAAAATGGCAATGAAACTCATTAAGAGTGTGAAAATTTTCCATTTAAAGGAGGATAAAAGATTAACGCTATTTTACTGGTGGTGAGATAAGTAAAGGGAGACATAATGGAATCAGAAATTAAAAATCTGGTCCAACTAATAGTGGAGCCATTGGGAAGCCTTTCATTAACTTCAGCAGGGGCTGGAGAATGCCCTCAGTCAGGTAATCCTCCTTGTTCCTGCTTGTGATATGGGGAAAGAGAAGACACGAGTACTTCAGATAGCAGATATCATTTTATTGTACATTTCATTTAGCATACATAGTGTCCTCAGCCTCTGCACACTGAAACAAGTAACTGGAGGATAACAAGGGCCATACTTATATTTTTTCCTAGCTACTCCAGCAGAYAGGGAGAAGGCTCCAAACTGAGCCCCATGCCCCAACTAACATCCTCCTGCACCCCTGACATGTGCCCAAGACAGCTGCCCCATGCCCTACGTGAGGCCCCTCTGGAGCTGCGCTGAYGTCGGTGGTTCACTTGGAGGCCGGCAAACATCCAGACTTACGGTTCCTCCCGCTCACACAGCCGAACAGCTGGAGTTCAGCACGAAACATCCTCAGTCTGCATGAAACATATGCTGCTAATTGTTTTGAAGTGATTTCTCTAGAGGTAGTCTAAAGGTAAAGAAGGCTGAATGGTTGTCCTAAGCATGCATCTTTTCTCCATTAATTTTCCTCTCATGCTCTACCTACGATAATTACTGTTTCTAAACTGCTAATTAAGCTTATGGAGAAAGAGATGCCTAATTATAGCGAGTTTCAAAACACTAGCACTATGGGAGTGGGATTTTCTCCTCAAATTTTACCTGAAGATTGGCACTTAGGGCCTATACACTTAACGTAATTTTCACAATCCTGTGTGCTTTTCAAAAACTTCTTCCAAGATCATGTGATACAGATGGAGAGTCTCACAGCAAGCATTGTCATGGTTATGACCATGTGCTTCAGGCTCCCTTACCCCCAACATACTCTGCAGGGATGCAATAAAGGATGAAAATATCATATTAGAGGATGAACTCAATGAGGATGCCCCTGGYCCTGGTCCCTCATGAGAAAAAGAAAGGATTTCCATGGGAGGATGCAGGTAAATCCTCGAGGTTAACACTGGCTTGAAAGTTGCCAATCCTTCTGCCTCAGGAATTACTTTTTCAACAGTATTAATTTGAAATTATATTTTCCTCTCTCCAGAGTGGGAAGAACCCGAGGGTCATTTAATCATTTCTTCAAAGGACGGTGGTTGCAAAGTAATGACTTGGGCTGGGGAATTTCAGAGAGGTTCAAAGGGCCGGTTCTCTGCTGACATTAAAAAAAAAAAAAAAAAAAAAAGTAGCAACAACAAAGTCTATAAACTTATTAGTTATATCAGATTAGTATTAAAATATACTATGCTGGTTAACTGGTTAACTCAGGACTGAAATGTGACTTGCTGGGAGAGTTATGAGGGAATTCCGGGGGAAAGAATCAATAACAAAATATGGAAGAAAGGTAAATAAATATCAATAAAAGTATTTCTGGCAATCTGACAACCTGGCAAGGTGACAGAAGATCAAGGCTGAGGTAATTAATCAAAAATAAAAACATGAAGATGCCAGATTTCCTGGGATTTACATACCTTTCTGCATTTCTGAACCTTCTGCATTTACGTTACTCCCAGTAATGATTATTGCCATGTAATATCAAAACTATACTACTTGTTCAAAGATTTGTTCAGGAACATTCTGTGACCTGTGACCATATTCACTTTCTCTGACATTGTTGCCTATTTGATATGAGCATAATTTCAAAAGCTAAATTTAACCAAAATTTCCTTTTATTCAAGTAATTCAGGCTGTTACATTAACTAAGGAACACCCACTGTAGGCTAGCGRAAATCATAAAGAAAAAGCTGCTTTTCTTCTTTAATGGTCAGGTTCTGGTGTGCATAAAAATACGCAGCTGTGGGTTGGTAAACAAAAGCAACCTGCTTTCAAGTGATCTGGCTTGGTAGTTTGAGGTTTTCTTGTTGTTGCTGTTGTTGTTGGAGAAGAATAGCTAAATCCTTAAAAAAATCTTTCATTACAGCGTCCCTGTCAGCCTCCACTTCCTAGCTTCCAGCTGCAGGAAACCCTTTATGAGCAGAAACACCTGTGGATTTTTCACATTTTTGCATGCATACTTTACCATTTTAGAGTGCATTCCTTGACTTGCAACTCACTGCAAAGCCATGGCTAATTCTGCTTTTTGGCAAGCCCACGGGGTAAATATTTTGGYCTCTGAGCCCTGTGTCTATGGGAATTCTTCAAAGAGGTATCTGGCYATCCCAAACCACCCTTGAAAAGCACTTTCAAAAGTAGCATATCCAGTGTGGCCACGAAGCAACTTTGATACTGAGCAATGCGGAGGGGTAGTTAGTCACATGATGAGGCCCTAAATCCACCCCAAAAAGCTGCTGTGCTGGTATACGAAGGAAGCAGGTTGTCCTACAGACCCTAGTGCATGACATGTCTTGTTTGCCAGAAGGAGCCTTTTCCGTGTTTTAATTGTGCCCTTGCTATGGACAAAAACAAGCCCTTAATCCTAGCAAGAAAAATAAAC